TGCTCGGAATATTTGCGCGGTGCACCAGGTGTTGTACTTTTTGCTCGAATTTGCTCTTCGTGGTCCCAGAAAAACTGTTCGTCGTATTGTGTCGGTCGATCTGGGATTAGATTCGAGGAATGGAAAACTGGTGAGCGAGTGATCTGAAATGAAATCGTTGGGAGAAACATAAAGAAAATTTCGTCTTGCGTCTTTTGCACGCGCGCATTTCGTGTTGCGTCTTTTCAGCAAAATCTTTCCATGTTATCGTTATGGTGCTGTCGGTGGGCATGAATAATGTCAATTCGAAACTTTGTGCCCAGCGGCTGACATAAAACTCCTTTCTGTCACTGCCTTTTCCGCAAGTCCAGTAAACAAATTTTGCTTCTCCGGACTAGATTTCCTTCTTTTTCATGTAAATCAACATCTTTTTGCTAATTCTTCCAAACACTGAATCAGCAGTTTCAGGTTTTTGCACTTTTTCGCTTAACCGTATCGAATATGACCCACAGATGGCGGAAGCGCTGGCTCGCGATGCATTTCGTAGGATTCGAATTGCAGAATGGCCGGCATTCACCAGTGATAATCAGGTAAACGATTTACACCGATTTTCAAACATGAACGACAGTCACAGAAAAGTCTAGGACTGGCAGTATGGTTTATTTTAATAACAGCATGAGTTCAGCAATGGCTGTAACTTTCACATATATAAACCAAACTAAAATCGGTGTTGGTGCTTATAGGAATTCATTATGGACTTCGTATTTTAGCTCTGGATATTGCAAAAGATAGCATGCAGGAAACAATATTTTCGCACCTGTATTGGAGGCTTAGCAGCGATATTATTTCTGTGCATATAAGCGACGAGATGCCATGGGACACTGTGAAGTGCTTGCTCAGCAATTCGTCTGGAATTCTGTCTGAATGCCGCCTCGCGTACGATCACCGAATTCAGCTCCACAAACTGTAGGTAGCGAAATATTCCAGACATTGTGGGACGACTTTTGTTATCTTTTATGCGATAATTACACAAATACGAAAAATTTTGTAGCTAACGAGGACTTCGAAAAAGAGAAGGGAAACATGTTTTTGCCTGACCTCCACAAAGTCGCGATTTGGTGAAGCGCCACTAACAACAATATTACGTCGTGAGCCAGCGATTCGATAAAATTCATCGAAATCCGCCTTTCCCACCCCCAGAAATATTATTGAAATAGGTGTGCTTGCTGCATACATTATCGCACTCATCAGCTCCTTCCAATCGAAAATCTGTCCTCCCGATGT